CTGGCAAATTCTTTCAGGTTTTGTTTGTTTGAGAAGATTTTAATCTTTTTTTTTCCATATGAAGGATAATCTTGCAGGATACAATAATCTTGATTGAAATTGTTTCTGTCTTAACACTTTCAATACATCTTCCCATTCTTTCTTTACTTGCATTGTTTCTGTTGAGAGGTCCAGTGTTGATAGTAGTGGTAGGGTGTTGCTTGGGAAATGCAAATATTGGGTTCTCAGCTCATGGTTCCCTGAGTAAGAACTCAGTGGGAAGGAATGTAAATTCTAGTGATGTGGACTGAATGAAGTAGCCTGGAAACAAGGATATTGGGTCAGGGAAACAGGAGATCTCGACAGAATTCCATGGAATAATGGGGCTTGAAATGCTGGAGTCTCTTCTTACCATTGCACAGTTCCAAATTGCTACACCTTGACAAGTATGTCCCTCTTTAGAGTCCTTCTGTGCATAAACTACTCCCTTCCCCCATCAAGGCTTCTCATATCACTCCAAAGAAAAAGGAAATCAATCATAGACAGTACTTACAGTGCAGGATAAATGTGTTGAGTATATTTTTTAGTTTCAAAATGCTTATATTTTCAAAGCTTAGTAGATTCTAGGCAATGACAAATCTAGAGTTAAACTGCTGTTGAGATTACAGTAAATCTTCAGTCTATAATGAGGAATAATTTTTGGAGCAGCTGAAGGGGACTAGCAGGTGGCATGGTGGTTAAGGGGCTGGACACTCCCACATGGCTGACCATGGTTCAAGTCCTGGACCTGACAGTTTGCTTTCTCACTTTCCTCTCTCTCTCTCTCTCTCTCTCTGTGTGTGTGTGTGTGTGTGTGTCTGGTCAAATTAAAATAAATGAATGAATGAATAAAATAGAATAAAATAAAAAGAAAATCAGTGTGGAGCAGTTGAGCTCTACTAGAGGTTTTTTTTTTTAGAATTTTTTTAAATCTTTCTTCCTTTCTTTCTTTTTTATTTCTCTCTTTCTGTCTTTCTTTTAATTGAATCAGAGAAAGTGAGAAAGCAAGCCATCAGGTCCGGGACTCAAACCACAGTTGGCCATGTGGGAGTCCAGCACCCTTAACCACCACACCATCTGCCAGCCCCTCTGCTACAGTGTTTAATGTCACTCTCTTATAGGTCAGAGATATTTCCCAATTAGAAGTCAATGAGATACCACCTCACTTCCATAAGAATGGCTAAATTAACAAATTAAAAAATGGTAAGTACTGGTGAGGTCTTGGCGAAAGGGGAACTTTCCTACACTCTTGGTGTAGGAAATGTAAATTAGTGCAGTCACAGCAAAGAACAATGTGGAGGTTCCTCAAAGACCTACAAATAGAACTACCATCAGATCCAGCAATTGCACTCCTGGGTATCTAGTCAAAGGATAGAAAAACACTCAGTTGGAAAAAACATTTGCACATCCATGTTTATTTCAGCATTATTCACAATTGCTAAGATATGTAACCAAACCAAATGTCCATGAACAGATGAATTGATTGAAAAGTGTGGAATATATACACTACAGATTACTACCCAGTCACAAAAAAGCAATGAGACCCTGGCATTGATAGAAAGTGGATAAATATGGAAGATTTACTGCTTAATGAAACAAACCAGACTATAAAAGAAAGGTATTGTATATCTCCACTCAATATATACTGTATGTTAGGACACTATGGCAGAAACTGAATGATTAGAAGGTATAAAAGCATGGAGAGCAATGGTGATACTGGAGACAGCTTGGGAAGAGGGTGAGAAATAAGGCAAGGTGAGAGGGAGGGAATCAAGGAGAAAAAGAAGTGAAACATTTAAGGGACACAAAAATGGAAAGAAATCTGTTGATTATAATGTATATTATAATGTCTTTGGACTGATATGCAGTGTATTCATAATGAGAAATTCATTTGGTATGCTGTAATGATACACAGTTGTTGAATGTAAAAATAGGTAAATAATAATAAAAAGTGAAATATTAAAGAATACCTAAATGTGGGACCAACAGGTAGTGTAGTGGTTACATGGCTGACTGGAGTCCCATGTAGTTGACCGTGGTTTGATTCCTGGACTCGGCAGCTTAAAACTCAAGCAGGATGTGTACATGTGTGTACCCAAAATCCTGAGAGAAGAATGGAGGAGAAGGGATTGTGGCATGGCCATCACCACTGAGGAGGTGATTTCTCTCTTTCTGTTTCTCTGTCTCTCTGGCAAGCACACACACCCTATAACAAAAATCGTTCTTAAGAAAAAAAGAATACCTAAATAAATAAAGGTGTATACCAAATAAATAAATATAATGTGTACAGACAAGTTATGAATTATAAAATAGTGTGGAAATAAAAAGTTATGTAGTAAACACTGTTTCCTCTTATTTTATTTATCTTTACTTTTTTATTTTTTATTTTGGAGAGGTTTTTGCTATAGGGCGCATGCGCTCACCAGACAGACAGAGAGAGACAGAGAGATAGAAAGCAAGAAATCACCCCCCAGAGGGGATGGACACGCCACAATCCCTTCTCCTCCATTCTCCTCTCGGGATCTTGGGCACGCACGCACACGTGCCCAGTGTGAGTTTAAGCCACCGGGTCCAGGACTCAAACCGCGGTCGACTACGTGGGAATCCAGCAACATGGCCATTACGCCAACTGCTGGTCCCAGCACTGTTTCCTCTTAATGTAAGAAAAAAATGTCAATGAAAAGTTCAAAATAGTAGAGCTTGCCACTATCAGGTCAATGGGCTGAAGCAAAGCATTGGGAGTATTAATGGAAATAGGTTTTCTCTCACCACCAGAGAGGTGGAATTATTGGAAAAAATGATTTATAGTGCTGTTTTAATATGAGATGTGGAGTATATTCCCCCATAATAGTCTTATCTATGGACTTGCCAGTTATTTAAGCTTTGATGTGTAGAATGCCCTTTCACACACTAAGCTATTGTACTCTCAAGTCCACAGGAACTCTACTTTCAACATCCTATTCATTTTTATAAGCTGAGCAAGCAGGGGTTAACAGCACAACTCATGAAAATTGCATAGGCCAATAGAGTTGCTCTCTTCTCCTTGAGCCTCCCAGAAGGGAAAATATTTATCCCAAAGGTGGCCCCTCCTCCCAACTTCTGAGTCTTATAGAGGAGACCCAAAATAAATACAGCCTTGGAGATCAGAGACCAGAGAGCCCCACTGGCTCCAGAGAAAGTCAAATCAATTCCCTAGCATGGGGAGAATTGCTTTACTCACCATCAAACTTCCAACCCTAGATGGGGGAGAGGAGGTCACCCCACATGACTTGTGCTGAAATAAGGAAGGAAGGGGAATACATAATGGAACTAAACATTTGAGTGAGAGATATAGAGAAGGAAGGAAGGAAAGTGAGCAGTCACAGACACTGACAGCCACCAGAAGTTCAAGCCTTTTTGGCAGCTGGAGGCTGGAAGAAAGGACAGAAGTGACTTGGACTGTGATGGGGATCTTACTGGGCTTACTGTTCCTGGGTCACCTAATGGTGGTCACCTATGGTAAGGCAGCAAATGGGGTCTTGCAAAAAGCGAAGGGAAGGGGATTATTTTCAATGCTTACTGAGAAAGGCTATTTCTCCTGTGCAGGTAAGTGTTCTCAGCCATGGCTGCAAGATCTTTCTGCTTTGGGTGGATGGGAGAGAAGTAGTTGAAGGATGCTAAAAAAAGCTTGGAGGCAAGTTTGTATAGAAATACAAAAGGATCTCTTCCTGGGAAATATCTGCATGATCTCTTAGTACTCTTATTTCAGAGACATCAAGAAGGCTTGTGATACTATCCAAATTCTTCTCCATCCACTGTCTTTCACCTGAAATTCTACCATTAGACTTAACTCTTCTGCTTTCAGAATTCCATCTTTTTAAAGATATATGAACTCCCCCCCCGCCGAAAGAAATGTTGCCTAAGAGCTAGACGGGACCTTAGAAGTTACCTATATCACCCTTTACTCTTATGAACAATTTCTTAGCAATATCTGTTCATACACTTTGAGTAACTACTTTCCAAGACCATCTAGTCTATACAAGAGCACCTCCAACTGCTGCTTGTATTAAACTAGTGATAAATCTATTTCCTTGTGGATTATATGCAAAGGACACAGCTCTGCTTCTATAACCCTCACAGAATACATCGGTTCCTTCTGACTTGTGACAGTCCTTCCAAGGTCTGAGGAAAGGAGCTAAGTCCCCTTAAGTCTTCTATTTTCCAAGCTAAACAGACTCAGCTCCTTCAGCTTGTTCTTTATGGAACTTGATTTTGTGCTTACTTCTGGGATAACTCACATTCCGATGATGATGAATCACTTTATCAGGGCTGTTTTTAGGAACCTATACTGGACACATATCCATCCCAAGGAGGCCAGAAAACTGCTTGGTAGCATCATTTACTTGGATCTTCCTCAACCCTTATTTACAACCCTTAAAAGTTTTTTTTTTTTTCTTCAGGAAACTAGGGTTGGATAACAGCTAAGTGAGACCCTAGATAATATACAAGGGTTCTTGTTGCATCCTTGTTTATTCCATCTCTCTAGAGGAAGAGGTTGGACAGGTGTCAGTTTGACTTGTAAGATCAGAAAGAACCCAGCTTTCTAAAGTTAACTCAGATCAGGTTACCTTGACTGACCTGGGGCTCTGTAAATAATCAAACTCTAGAACCTCAGAGCTAGAAAAGACCCTGAATTAAATCAACTATGAGGAAAATAATTTGTCCCAGGCCATGGAGCACTAGTAACAGAGTTAATGTTCCTGAGAAAGCAGTGTTCTTTCTGCAACTACATTATTTTCATTCTCTAGCAAGTTTCAAGTACACCTCTTACTGTCTCCAAAACTGTTGATTTGAGCTGGGACTTAGAGGGACGGGCAGGAGCTTGAAGGAACATTTTATAAAAGTTAAACTTAAATCTTTGTATGTGTGTGTCTGCAAAACACATATGAGTACTCAGATGTGTCTTGTCTCTTCAACAGCCTGTGAGCTCGCCTAGCCCTGAAAGCAGGCGTTACATTTTTGTATAGAGCCTTATACTATAGACCTGAGGCTCAGGATACAATAAATCATCAATGATTCTTCTCTCTCTCTGGACCACAGTGTCCAGAGGAGATTTACTTAGCTGAACTAAAAGGGACCTGTCATCTGAACAGCTCAGTGGGACTATGACTTCACTGTCAAAAAATCCAGATTCAGCTATTAGTCTTTTCCTGTGGGGATAAGATACATGTTGAAATAATGATAATAAAAAGAAATCCTAACATACACATTTTATAAACATTTTGAAGATTTTATAAACATTATGAACATTTTATAAATGTCATTATCTGAATTAATCCTCTATCCAAGAAGCAGCTTATGTAAGAGGCCTGGCATGGGGGGAGGGGAAATGATAGGGTGATATTTCCTATAAAAGATATGCACCCAGAAAACTATACTTTTTTTCCCCATCAGATTTATTACAGAGGCTACAACAGACCTTAGATTTTCTAAGTCCCAGTTCACAGGACCAGAGTGGTCCCCATTTGCTTTCTTCCCAAGCCAAATCCTCCTTTAACAAAACCCTTTGAGTCAGTGTTCAACCTTAGTCTTTTTTCTGTGGGAGATACAGGCTCTTGGATACTGGGTTAGATTTTTCAGAAATCACCTGGCAAATTGGGGCATAATTTATTGAGTTGTCAGGTATATAGTATCCAGCCCTAGGGTAACATCCCTGAAACCATGTCAGGCAGGCCCAGGTAAGGGATTTGTGATTTCAATTAAAGCTGGTGGTTTAATAAATTTTTAAAGATAAGAAAGCAGTATATCATCTGAAAGCCTGTATTTTAGGCCTTTGGGCCCAGTTCTGTCTTTGTTATCTGTGTGACTATTGGTAAGCATCGTTTACCATGAAGGAATGTGACTCAGTGGTTTCTAAAAGCCCTTCAAACTATGTCATTCCAGAAGTCTCCAAATTAACCCATGTTATACTAAGCAGCTTGCCATTTGATGGTTTTGAGGTATCCATAATGGGCAGAACATTCTGTCAGGTAGGAGTCTCCTGAAATGAGCATTTCCTACCAAGTCTTCTAGGAAAATAAGTACTATCAGTTAATTTGGACATTTCACATTGGCTGCCAAGCCAACCCTGTTATTGGAGGCACAGGCTGTTGTGTCCTCTCTGACTTTCTATAACCAACAGCCTATTACTCAGTAGATTCTATTAGGTTGGAGAGGGTGATTCCTTGCCTTCTCATGTGATAATTTCTCCTTTGGTGAGTGTAAAAGCTGCCAATGATCCAATCAAATCAATCTGTTTACCCAGAGTAAGACATATTGAAGACTTCTATAGCACAGGGGAAAAAAAACAAGAGAAATATGAAAAATTCCCCTTAGGGAGAGGATGAAACTGACATTAATAGGCTCCATATGCCAACCACATTCTAGGTGCCTTCACACTTATAAGTTCATTTAATATTCACAATAATTAATATGCCAGCAGATGGCATAGCGGTTACGTCACTGGACTTCAATGGGGCTGACCATGGTTCAAGTTCTGGACTTAGAGACTTGAAATTCACATGGGGCATGTGTGCATTCATGCCCAAGATCCCAGGAGAACAGAAAAGAAGGGATTGTGACATTGCCAACCCTCTTAAGGGGATGATTTCTCACTTCCCCTCTCACTGCCTCTGCCTCTCTCTGTCTCTCTCCAGTGAGTGCATGTGCCCTAAAGCAAAAACCTCTAAAATTTTTCAAAATAACCCTCTGTGGAATGTTTATTATTATTTTCATTTTATTGATAATGACCTCAAATTGAGACAGGTTTCTGAGTCATTCAAGGTCACACAGAGAAATATATGGTGAGGCAGACCTTGGTGTTACCCTTACTACATAATTGAGTTCAAAACCACTTTCTTGATAACAGACTAGTTGTTCTTCTAGGCTCGCTGAGCACAACAGAGATAGTTGGAAGGTATAATCAATCCTATTTTTGTCATCTACAGTTTGGAGATCAGGGAACTTGAATAGTGCCATGTCCTTTTTATGTGATGCCTGTGCCTACCGTCCACTCCTTCTTTATTCTCCTAATGAAGAAAATGAATGGAAGAGGAGAGAATATCAAGAAAGAGAAACAGAAACAAGATGGGTAGAAGAAAAAAATGGAGAAAGCAAGGACAAGGGATGAAAAACTACTAGCTGGGGTTACTGGGGGGGGGGGAAAACCATTCTGAAAAGACTGGTTACCAACTCTGTCTCATGTCTCCATTATGGAAGCTTTACCTACTTGGAGAAGTGACTTTCAAAATTGGGAAACTGGGACTGGCTGGCGATGTTCTTGACATAACAAAATGGGCTATATGAGAATATCCAGCAAATTTCCAGAAAGGAGAATGTGAGCTGAGCCTTTCAGTGACTCTGAGATCAGAGGAAAGACATTTATAAACATAGAAAAAGACATTTTCAGAAACACCAGATATCCTCACCGTAGAATGCTTTTGTGTTGCCCAGTAGAGGACTGTGAGAACATTTTTCATAGGCGGGGAGAAAGATTGGGAAGTACCAAATGGTGATTATAGGGGAAGAGACCATTAAACCAAGAAACTTGGATGGTTTTCATTAGGCTTAAGGATGGTATATTTGCATTTGCACGTGGCCAAAAATGTGTAATGTCACTTGTGTTCATGTGATATGATGATAAACTATCTGCATGGATATCAAGGCATGAATTATCAAAAACACAGTGAAACCCGCCACTTTATAAAAGTTAACCACCAACTTGAACACGTAATCATTTAACTGCTATTTCCATTACGGTCTATTAGCACTGGAACATCAAGGATTGGAAGGGATGTTAAAAAGTAATGTCTTCTAAGACCCAAAGTTCAGAACTTCTTCAGACAGTAAAGTTCTTTTCAGACCAAACCAAAATCTGTCCCTCTTGTATTTCCATTCATGGATTTGAGTTCTGCTCCCTGTCAAGTCTGAAACTCTTCAAAGAGTATTTTGTGTATCTAGCACTAATCTGGACTTGAGGGTTGTTTATTTGTTTGTTTGTTTTTAATTAATTTATTTTTTCCTGCTTAAGGTCTTATATTGACCAAAATATGCTGCTGATGTTCTAAGAGTCCCTGATGAAGTCACAGTCCAGAGGTTAAACTTTAGTATCCCCATTAATAGAAGCCTTGCTGCTTAACAATATATTCTGGGAGCTAGGAACCATACTCCTACATAATTCCCATCCAAAAGGTGTCATCTTTCATCAGCTGGACTGAAACCTGGGAGTTCTGGGTTAAATAAAAAGTTTGTATTCAGTAATAGCACATATTTTGAATCCATCTCCCATCAGAGAGACATAAGGGTATTATTGTCTAAATACAATCCACCATTACTGACCCCTGTCAAATGAAACACAAAATCCTCAAAATATGATGGAAAATTCTTAAAGGAGGTAATAACTGTTTTTTTTGTGTGTGTTTTTGTTTTTGTTTTTGTTTTTTGGAGAGGTTTTATTTGCTATAGAGCATGTGCACTCATCAGAAAAACAGAGAAACAGAAAACGAGAAATCACCCTCCAGGGGGGATGGCTACACCACAATCCCTTTTCTTCCATTCTCCTCTCAGGATCTTGGGCATGCATGCACATGTGCCCAGTGTGAGTTTAAGCCACTGGGTCCAGGACTCAAACTGCGGTCAACCACATGGGAGTCCAGTGACATAGCCATTATGCCAACTGCTAGTCCTGATAATAGCTGTTTTAAAGTCTTCATGGTTTTCCTCCTGGGTTTTCCCACTCCCAACAACCCAGCAACAAAATTCTCTCTTTGCTTCTACCATCATTCCCACCACAGCTAGCTCTAGGAGTTTACCTTTCTCCTCTCCAGACCAAGCATAGACAAAATATTCTCCCCCTTAGGATGGAATTTTTCAATATATCTTTGCTGAGAACTAAGAGAAACCAAAAGGGAAATATACAAAGAGACAAATCAGGAAATATAGGCTTACAAAATGCAAATTTCATACATAACCGTAAATAATAATTTCATTAGACAAGAATGTTCATCCAGGCTTGTTCCTTTTTCCAGGTTCACCCTCAGAATTGCCTTTTGCCCTGCCTCCTTATTCTCTTCCAGAGAAGAGTTTAGGGTTAGGACCTCAATCACTGGGACTTTCTTAGGAAGCAAAGGGATGAACAGGATCCAGGGTTCTTTTTTTGCTGAACGCTGAAGCACCTCCCCCCATTTCTCCCAGTGTGTATTCATGCAGAATGAAATAGACCAGATATAATTTCTCAGGATTTTTGTACCCAAACCTCTTTTGGAAAATGTTGAGAGAAAATAAAATTTTCATGGATTTGCAAAACATCAGAGTTGGAGAATCCCTAGAGATCATTCCATCTAAACTGTCCTCAATATAAGTGAAGAAAATGGCTCCTCTATGGTAGGAGATAACTTACCCAGGATCATTTCACAGTAAGGCCATGACAGAAAAAGGATTCAAATCTCACAAGAGCTAAACAATATTAAGGACTTTCCCTCTGAGGTGTGGTTCTTATTGATGGGAAGGTTGTCAAAGAACAAAAGGGCATAGAGGAAAGCTGAGGAGTGTATCTCAGAAACCTCTTGAGGCCTGCCACTGCCACTCTAGCTCCCAGGTGGGTATGCCATCTATGTTTGTTTCCTTCCTCTGTTCCCCCTTCAGGCCATCCAATTCTGGAAGCACCAGAGAACATAATAGGACCCTGGAAAGGAAATGTGAATATTCCCTGCACCTATAGCCCCCTGCAAGGCTACACCCAAGTCTCGATGAGATGGCTGATACAACGTGGCTTAGATCTAGTCACCATCTTCCTACGTGACTCCTCTGGAGATCATATCCAGCAGGCAAAGTACCGGGGCCGCCTGCATGTGGGCCATGAGGTTTCAGGAGATGTGTCTCTCCAACTGAATACCCTGGAGATGGATGACCGGAGCCACTATACATGTGAAGTCACCTGGCAGACCCCTGATGGCAACCAAGTGATGAAAGATAAGATCATTGAACTCCGAGTCCAGAAACGTGAGTCATTTTTGGGTAGAAAAGCACTGATAGCCCAAAACCCAGGAGAAGGCTATAATCCTAGGCACATCTGAGTAATCCAGGGACAGTTGTTTATATGTACATAGGTCACTTCAGTCATATTTGCTAATCAGAGTAAGTGGACAGGCATATGATCTTCAGGGTCATTACTCCCACAGTGGAATTAACGTTTTGAAATGAGTTCCTTGCTTTCAATATTTCTTATATTTCTTGCTTGTTTTTTGTTTGTTTGTTTGTTTGTTTTTATTTTTTTGTGGGTTTTTGTTTTTGTTTTTAGAGAGATTTTTGCTATAGGGTACAAGGTGGGAATCCTGTACCTTAACCACTACGCCACCTGCTGGCCCCTGCCTTTAATTTTTACCTCTTCTAGTTTAACAGAAATTCCAACATGCATAGCCTGGTTGTCCTTCTTGGGCTCTGTATAGAACTTAGATGTTGACAAACAAGTCTTGGGGAAAAGAAGGCAAGAGTTAGTTAAAATAAGCTTTGCTGGCTTGACAACTTCATAAAGATCTGGCCTTGATAATCAAGAAGTGTAGATGATCCAATAAGTCTATTTGAGACTTAAGAATATATGTATATGTATATACTTCCCTTCCAAGTTAGGAGCCTCCTTTAATTTGAGTTACAGATAAGTGAATGCCCATATGCCCAGAAGTAATTACTTGGCCTTGCATCCCCAAATCCTTATGACTTACCAAAACCTCCTCTTTTGTCTTCCTTTGCAGTCTCTGTCTCCAAGCCCACAGTGACAACTGGCAGTGGTTATGGCTTCACCGTGCCCCAGGGAATGAGGATTAGCCTTCAATGCCAGGCTTGGGGTTCTCCCCCCATCAGTTATGTTTGGTACAAGGAACAGACTAATAACCAGGAACCCACTCAAGTAGCAGTCTTCAGTACCTTATTCTTCAAGCCTGCAATGGTGACTGACTCAGGTTCTTATTTCTGTACTGCCAAAGGCCGGGTTGGTTCTGAGCAGCGCAGTGACACCGTGAAGTTTGTGGTCAAAGGTGAGCAGTCCTTTTTCCTGGTGAACTTCTTAGCAGACCACCACAGAAAAGCACCCTTATGCTGGTGAGAGGTTGGGAAAGTGGGGTCCTAGGTGGGCAATATCTGTACAATCACAAAGAAAAAGAATTTCAGGACAGGGGACAACAGAGCTAGAGGTGCTTTGTCATGTTATAAGTTAAGTAGATAAAGATGGCAAAGGGAAAAGTGGCATTTATTATGTATCTCATATTTGCCAGATACAAACTGTAAGACCTAGATGCATTTTCACTTTGAATTTCAACAAATGTCCCATGAGATAGCTATTATTACTCTCATATTATTGAACAGGAAACCAAGAATCAGAAAGAGGAATCTACTTGCTCATGGTCTCACAGCAAGAAAGTGAAAATCTGGATTTGCACTCAGATTTTATGCTCTTTCCACTATATATAATTGTTTGTCATGGCAGAATCAGATCCTGGGCATCCTTTAGAAATGATAGGGTTTTTGTTTGTTTTTGTTTTTGAGAGTTTTTTTTGCTATAGGGCATGAGCATTAGCCAGAAAGACAGAGAGACAGAAAGTGAGAAATCATGCCCCAGGGGGGATGGCCACACCACAATCCCTTCTCCTCCATTCTCCTCTCAGAATCTTGGGCACACACACACATGGACCTGGCGTGAGTTTAAGCCACTAGGTCCGAGACTCAAACTACGGTCGACTACATCAGAGTCCACCGATGTAGTCATTGCGCCATCTGCTGGTCCCATAGAAGTGATGGCTTTTTATTTGCTTATTGGGTTTTTTTTGTTGTTTTGGGGTTTCTTTGATTGTTCTTTTTTTCTCTCTTCTCTTTCTTTCTTTCTTTTTCTTTTTCTTCTTTCTTTCTTTCTTACATTTTATCATGGCTTTACAGTATACATTTCTTTTTATTTTATTTATTTATTTATTTATTTATTTTTATTACA